AATCTTCGATCTTCGATTACGATCGATGTACTCGAAAGTACAATCCGCTCGAACAAGAACTAGTTTCTTCGAACTGAGAGTGCTGGCGCTCCGCATTGAGCCTCGGGAGTCCAAGGACTAAACAACCTTAGGTTGCGCTGTGCAAAACATCTACAGGCAAGACTGGAATGGAGCTGGTTCTGTGCCAGCTCCTCCTTCCCCCCCCCCTATCCGAACCAGATGTGTACGTAGGGAGTGATACGGGACGAATTGTGCGAGTCATACTGTTTGATAACGACCACATCTACAGGAATGGCGAAGGAAAATACACACACAGAGAGAGACCCATAAGCACATATGGGACTGGAAGTGTCAATAAGAAAACTCGAACAGGGCTATTTGGACGAGCTTACGGTGCTGTGCCGCATGCGGGCCGTTATGAAGTACAAAACGTTGATTTACGACATTATAAGAGGCAATGTGTCTAGTCCTATTGCTTCATAGAACATAATGGATGAATAGACATATTGAAGGAGGAGAACGGGAGCAAAACGAAGGGGTGGGGGGGGGGGGTAGAGAGGAAAGAACGAGTTTGGCGAGGACAAAGTTTAAGCATAATTCTTTAGAGTCATGGCTTCCATCTCTGCACTCCTTCCCCCTCCCTTAAAAAATGGGTGAATAGCTTCAACGTCAAAACACACTAACTCACATATGAATGCGATTTGTGAGAACAATGAATACGAAGTTATTGACTAGCAGGTTTTTAGTCGTTTTACAACTTTTTGAGCTGGTAGATTTTGAAAGTATTGCGTTACCTCAGGTAATTTACAAAGTGAAAGATCTGTATGAAGGAGACACGCTTAATAGCAAACAAGCGAACAAATGCATTATCGAGAAAAGTTTGTGCATTGTTAAAGTTGTGTAACTGACAGCTATATTGCAAATATCTTCAAGTTGGGAATTCTAATGAGTAAAGCTCAGTGCTCGGCGCAGGTGGCTTATAAGCAAGTTGGATATCGTTCTCGGCACAAAAATCAAAGGGGAAATCGTTTTTGTAGCCGAAAAATACGACGTTTTCTCAGTCGTGGTTTCTGTTTTTTTTAGGATTTTTTACGTTTATGGTTCATGGTCAAAGGGGCTTCGCAAAATTTTGGGAACAAGGGGAACTTTGTTTTTTGCATTTTCGGAAACCCACCTCGTGCCGAGCTCTGGTAAGGCTTTCCAAAACACTTGCGTATTTTTGGAAAAAGATTCTGTTGGACTGGGAAAACATATTTAATCTGAAATTTTGGAAATCTAATCTAACAAATTTTTCTTTGGAATGCCCAATGCGACTACGACGGCGCAATCATACTGATTGTTCTCATCGAGCAAAGCAAAATTGTGGTGCAAGAAGAAATGTTAGAAGATTTTGAGTAAGGATTTGAAGTTTTCAGTAGATAGGTTACCTTTTGCTTTACTCTAGCATCTGCAACGTTACCAACCTCTACATCACCAACCTTAAACTTCCAAAACTTTACTCAAAGAAAGATTTTCACAAAAAAAAAGAAAACTATCTTTGAATGGTAAATCTATGGAAGAACTACCGTTAGCAAACCAACAAACTTCAATTACCTAGGGCAGATATACAATTGGATATTATATTGATAAGCAGAAGAACTTCAAAGAATTTGTGCAGGCACGAACCTTCCGAAGTATACTTTAAAAGATTTTTACAAAAACTAGCTTTAAATGGTAATCACGGAAACCATTTCCTCAACATACAAACAAATTCTCATTATCTGGTGCAGATAGACAATTGAATATTTTCTTACTATAAGAACTTAGAAAAGAATTTATGCATACGCTTCGTTGAGCAGTATAAAAGCCTTGGATGGCAAACGCACGAGTCTTATAGAACGGGTGCCTCGAGCACTTGGTCGAAAAAAACGAACTTATGCAGCAGCCTCGTGTATCCTATTCAACTGTGTGGGTAAACTTAAAAAATGTGAAAAAAGAATTTTCATGCTAGCTTTGCTTCCCACAAAGGCAATCTTCTTGCAACGAACAAGCCGGCCAGTCAGCTGCAATAACGCAATAATTGCGAACTAATTCGGAAGTTGCTGAAGTGCAATTATATAAGCCCAATCTTTCCTGGACTTTTTTTGCTTTTGGGCCGTGGTCAGGGAAGTAGGCTATTGTGAATGTGGAAATTTTGCAAGGCCTGAGTTTAGAAGGTTGAAATGAATCCCGAAAATTTTCAGTCTTGTGTGCGTTCAGTACGCAAAGAATGCCATAGAATCATAAACCGCTGTATCTATATTTGAAGCGCAGTAAATAAAGAAAAGGAAAAGGTCAAAGTTCATGAGGAGTGCCAGATGGCATCGAATTTTGTAGGAACTGAAGCAGACGATGAATCGAATATGAATCATAGAAAATTCTTTCACCAATCATTGAATCATAGCGAAGTTCCCGTTGCATTAAATCAGGAGCAATGTCAAAATCGCTTTTCCCCATGAACAGAGGGTGAGAAAAAATTTTCGTAATTAAGTTTGAAGATGAGCAAAAAGAGAGAAGGGAGAGAATTTACTAACGGGACTACTAATAAGCCGTCCGATATTTCTTTTGCTCCTTAAATAGGCTTTAGGGTACCATACAATACAATTAAGTTTTACAAGATAGCATCCAAACATTTAACAAAATTGCTCCACATAAGCCAAAAACTAAAAACATCCAAGTGCTGAAAAATCCAAAATTGATAGCATCTCCTTTCAATAAATTTTCACCAACATCCCGCTCGCCCGTGTGCAGCTTATTTTTTTCAGAGATGAAAAAACAATAAATTTTCTGGTTTCAGCAAACTTGGGCTGAACACTTGCTACATAGACAGTTTCATTAAAAAACAATTGTATTTATGGATCTTCAGAATCTTGCAAAGTTTACAACAGAAAAAACCCCAAAAAGACAACATCCGTAATTCTGACCCACTTTGACTTAAATGCTTGTTTCAATTTTGAGAAGTGAAAAAAAACAACAAATTTTCCCGATGCCTAGAGTGTATCCTTAGTAAGTATAAGCCATCACATTTTCTGACGGACATTTATTCTCGATTTTTTTTCATGATATTTTTCAAGACTTTGGCTTCCAGCTTTATAAGGAATAACCTTCACGTGAAGGTTTTCAGTTTTATCTTGTAAGGCTCACTTTGCTCCAACGAATGGCGCAAAACATATCTAAGGCATAGAAATAATATCATTTACGAAGAACATTAGAAGTTTGAAAATGAGACAAGCTAATAGATTATGCAAAAAACTATTTCTGTTATTTGAAACACTCCAGCTCAGCAACGAAAAAAGACTCAACAGCGGCTGCTAAATATTCGAGGTCGACAAGAGGACACAACTCAATCGAGGCACACGTCGGTCAACTCAATGACCGTTGACAATTGCCGAGTGTCACGTCCCGAAAAAAAATTGACGGATCCGATAATGCACACAAGGACATATGATTCCAAATGCAGTAATGCGCGAATAAGGGGTAATTTGAAAACCGGTGGACATAGCGCAGAGACGATTACATTATTTGATAATGGAGACACTTTGGGCACCAACGGCCCACAACATCCGAGTGGAGCCAATTCTGCCCTGCATGAAAAAAAAGAGGAAGAACGGCATTGCTGGTTTCCGTCAGAGCTCATAAAACTTGTGTCGCGATGAAAGAAACTAGATGGAGGCTATAAAGTCGAGAACGATCAGTTTCCAACAGCGATGCTTTGGGTCATTTAGATCCAACCTAAGGAACCCGCAACAGGTTACGCAAAAGCTTGTACGGGGTGAGCTAAGTGTTTGGAAATATTGCGGTACTTTAATTGACGAAACTAATACTTTCACTTTAAGATTTATGCCAAAGACTTCTGCAGTCTCCTAAATGCAATTTTGCGAGATAAAGAATGACGGTTTCTATATGCAAGAATTTGATCAATCACCTATTTTCTTAAGCACAAAAGCACAAGCACTCTGACTTGTTAGCGGATGTTGAGACATTCTTATGCCAAAAATCAATAAATCAATAGAATGGCCCAGCGAATCGCCGCAAAAGGAAGCCCTAAACATCCGCCGGGGTCGAATGCATATGTGTGCAATCGGTTCAGCGCAAGCGTTTCTATAACGAACGAAAAACTAAAAGAACATAGTTACAAAGTTTGAGTTCTACATAAATACTAGTGAACCAGTAATCTAAAGCTGCTATTTGCAAGAGCGTTCGCCTCGGGACCGCCACGCGCTTTCCCGCTATTTGCAAATTTTTGAATTGCGCTTACGTTTCTCTATATATTATAATAGATCTTTAAATATTAGATTAGATAGATTAGATTAGATATATGATGGCCCGAAAGTTCGCCATTTTCAAAATCCATAACTCCCGCTTGGTCCAGCCGATTTGCGTGTTTCCATGTTTATCTGGAAGAACAATTCATTCCTTTTATAGTGGTACCTTATCGGCGCTCTTTTGAGCATACACTGCGTAGATAGAAGCGTAATAAAATCAATCTGTTTATGAATTTCTTGTGTAGGGTCATAAAAAAATCTGAAAAATCGAAGTGGTCGGTATTATAGGTGGTTTTACCACCTCTTTCTAATAGTGCAAAGTCTGAGCTGATTGAGCGTCTCTACAGAAAATCATGATTTTGCTGAAAAATGCCAAAATAATTCAAATTCGCCCTTTTGTATTGCTTGCTCGAAAATCATAACTTTTCATAGAGGCGCTCAAAACGTCCAGCTCGGCTCTGTAACTGAACTTCGGACAACCCTCATTCATCAGTCTGGACTAGTGAATTTGCGGTCCTCTTCTGAAGACTCGGCAGAAGAGGCCACAACTGATGAGCTTAAAAATCCAGGAGAAAATGCACATGAAGTGTACAGCAATAATCTTATCGCTAAAATAATTGGGAAGGCTTGCATTATCAGCAGAGGTAATATTGAATCCAGCAAGCCACCCTCGTAATTATGATGGAATTTCAAATCTCAGGCATAGTCATAGTCAAGATGGCTGTCTCAGCACACACTGCGTCTATGACCCAGGGAGGTCAGAGTCAGACGGCAGAGTGCTTAGAGATTGGAGACGGCGCCATCCTGAATTCCGGATACGCCGCAAGGTTCGGTTGCGGTCCAAACACGGACGGGCAGGTACCTTCGGGTCGAGAGCAGTTCCAACACGCAAGTGCCCCGCCATCGTCCACCACGACCGCAACCGCCGCACGCCCGCACCACCGGGAGGTCCCCAACCGCCCCGGGACCCACGGGAGACGAGCCCGGCCGACGACCAGGCGCACCCGCGCGCGCGCCGCCGCCACCGTCGTCGACGTCGCCCCGAGACCCGATATACCCCGAATCGCGCCAAGGGTTTTCCGCCCGAGGTCCCAATCGACAAATTCATAGTTCCCCGTGCATGAAAAGTATAAATTTACTCGCCAAGTTGCAAGACATGCAGCCCTGTGATAATCTTGAGAGAGCTTGGCATTCACAACCAAACCTCAGTCAGAGCAGTCAATTATGAGCAGAAGCATGTCTTGCCAATGTCAATCCACTCGTTCCCCATAGTTGCAGCCCGTGACACTATATGTTCATTTAGTTGTGCTGTTTCCGTCGATTCTACAGTAAAAAGCATCCTCCGATAGTCTTCTACACGTTCAGCATGGTTTTATGACGACCCAAACGATTGCTGAAAGCGGATGAATATGGAAGGATGTGGCAGAGACCAATACAAAGAGCTAAGAATGATCTTTTACAGACAGAATGGATTTTGAACGAGACATCCGCAATTGCTGCATGGTGGACATCCGCGATTTCCTCGAATGTGCTCCTTTATGGGTCAAAAGTGCTCGTAGATCGTGTGAAAATGCAGGCCATTCTGACCAGCAAGGAAAGTGATCTAAGCAATATCGAACTGAGAATCCAGCGTCTCGAAAAGGTGAGAAATAGAGCCTAGAAACTTGTACGGCTGACATTGATATTGAATTACTCGGAGTGTATATAGATGTTAAGGTGTTGCACATTGGACGTCACAATGATGATGGAGAAGCAATGGTGGAAAGCGAGTCGGAAACCGAAGGATCGGACATTGCAGCCGGAGAGCAAGACGATGCTGAAAGTCTGTCAGATTCTGGTGACGAAGCACATAGCTCCTCCATGGATGTATAGTCAATAATGTACAAGCTAACATGGTTTCCAGGCGCATTCCAATAATGTATACTGTTATTGTATCATTTATCACTGCATTGTCATTGTATATTGTTCGCTCTCTTGCCAGCTACATATTATGAACCGAAAGTTCTGTCGCAACATATTTGAAAAATCGTAATTTCTTCCTGTCACGATAGTCTTGCATGGCAAAAATAGAACTAGGAAGAGTAACTCATGTACTTTCTAATGGCACCTTGCCTGCTCTTCCCTACTCTTTGACTGCAGCGATAAAAATGGGAAAAGAAATCACTTCAGGTTCGAATTTTGAGGCAAGCCCGTTAACAATTCCAAAACTGTGCAATAAAATCCAAAAGAGTCAGTAACCTAGTTTTTTGATCCCCTCTTTCTAGCTGAGCAAAATTCGCGCTGATCGAGCTCTTTTTAGAAAAAGCTACGATTTTCGAAGAAAGCCAAAAATAGGTTTCTTTAAAAAATCGATTCTTAATCATTTTTCCCATAAATCAGAACTTCGCAAAATACAGCTCGACCAGCGCGAATTCTGCTCTTGTAGAAAGAGGGGATTAAATAATCTAGGATACTGGCTGTTATGGATTTTATGGCGTATTTTGGATCTTTTAACGGGCTTGTCTCAAAATTCCAAAGCTGAAAGGATTTCCTTTTCCCATTTTTATCTCTGCAATCAGAGCATAGAAGAGAGCAGGCAAAGTGTCATTAGAAAGAACATGAGCTACTCTTTCTATTGATATTTTTATCAAGCAAGACGATTGTGAAAAAAGGAAGCTTTTTGAAAATGGTGCAACAGAACTTTCGCTTCAACCTAATATCTTTGATAACTCTGGAAGCTAATGAAGCGCAGAAGCCACTTCTACATGAAGCAACTCTTTTCCATAAATCTTCTGAATGAATTTTTGCATTGCGATTAACTAAACTCAAAGCAGTTGTGAAACCAATTTTTTTCACTTTGTTTCGCGTATTTGTATCCACGATCGATTAAAGTTTCCAGCATATGGCAACTTATGCACTCTATGAATTTTACTCCAGTGTATAAAAAAACCTCAACTTGTCTCCAGATAAACTTTTTGCTGCTGATTCTTATCAGGCGTTTACTTTAGAGATACCATTCAAAACCACCTTCGGGCTTCACAAATGTCATTCGAGCTATCGGTCAGTGGTGTGAAAGCTCGCTACAAAATCTGGGCTATTTCCAAGCTCTGAGAGCTTCCTAGGCGATTACTTCAATCTGATGATAATCTTGCACCTGAGTCCTTCCCTATTTACCTCTTTACAGCGTCAAACCTGGATGAAGAAAAGGTTTTAAGGTGGTCGATCTTTTCTTTCAAATACAAGTACATGAACCTCGTGGTAACGATTTTCTCATGGATTGATAACACCCTAGTCTTGCTGGACGTTTCCAGTCGTGATTTCTGCTCCCATGGGACCATTGCTCTCGTTCGCAACTTTTCTTGATACTAGGTTGTTCAAAACGTTCAGATGAAAGTTGGGCTACTTGTTCTATCTTATGGATCAACTGAGTTCGTAGAGTATTTATTTTTGTCGCCGTTTTTTTATGAAGCGGTTAGTTCACGTTTAGTACGCTCTATTCTTCAAGATTATTAATGAAAGATACCCGCCAAAATCGTCCTCTATGGTGAATAGGCGATTTCGTAGCAACGTTTAATTTTCCCGAGCTTCTTTGGGCAGAGCTTGATAGCTGTCCGTCATTCTATAGGTTGTGCTAAATTCTGATGACGAAAATTCTCTTTCTAGAACAACATATCCTTAAAAACTTTTAACATGTGCAAATTTCGTGTACCTTTGAGTTGGCATAGTCGGATTGATACAGTGCTGGCCAAATTTATAGGTTCACTCTAAGAAATGCCATAACTCACTCTGTTGTGAATGAAATTTTCCAAAATTTGGTACAGACGTGTTTTTACCAGCCTACTATCAGTCTACAAAACGGTTCTCGTTTTCGTTCGATTATTCAAGAAAAAATTAGAAATATAAAAAAAAGCAGGCTTGAAGGCTGGCCAAAATTATAGGTCCACCTGGAGTTTTTACTGATTGAAGCACTTCTTGGCTCCCGAATTTTTTTAGGTAGGCACACATCCAAAAACGTTAAACAGCTGCATTGGTCAAGCTGTGTCATACTTCCAAAAAGAACTGATTATCTGCTTTTTTGCCTTGAAGATGCACTCACATGTATTTCGCTCCACAAACCTGCGTTGAGTAAGAAATTCTGCAGTTTTTCAGCTGGATCGGATGGGACGGGGTTTCATCTATCTTCCGGATGCTTTTTGACGTGAGCATTGAGGAAAAAATCCGACTTTTTGCTGCTGAAGCAATTCTGACATCGGCTTAATCGGCAGAGTAAGCCTCAGTTTCTGCCCCAAAACCCTTTATGCATTGTCATTATAACCTTAAGATATTGTAGAAGCATTTTTTACACAAGAATAAAGCTGTTCGCCATACTCACAAGTGTCCACAAAGCTGCCTTGCTTCTTTTTCGAAACATGAGTTGTGTGTGCAACGTAATAATGGTGTTACGCGATCCAAAATAGCTTTCCAAGTGCTACCTCACTCAGATTTTTGACAGTAATTATTTACTAGATAGTGGATACAGCTTGTAGTGTATGTTAGCACATGATTCTTCTGAAAATTTTGGTCGGAGTCACAAGTAGCTTTGGTGCTTGTCGTAATCAGTTTCTGCAGAGTGATTTCAGTAATTATACTCGAATGCTAGGATCTCTAGAAAATTGTAACTATGGTATACGGACTCCCCTTCATAGAAACAATGCCTTTACTTTACTCAGTGTTTCTGAGAACATAGTAAAAGAAGTTTGAAGGCAGAAATTTGAGCTCAGGATTGCAGTACGTCAATGTCAGATTTGCTTCAGCAGCAAAAAGTCGGATTTTTTCCTCAATACTCACGTCGAAAAGCATCCAGAAGATAGATGAAAACCCGTCCCATCCGATCCAGCTGAGAAACTGCAGAATTTCTTACTCAACGCAGGTTTGTGGAGCGAAATACATGTGAGTGCATCTTCAAGGCAAAAAAGCAGATAATCAGTTCTTTTTGGAAGTATGACACAGCTTGACCAATGCAGCTGTTTAACGTTTTTGGATGTGTGCCTACCTAAAAAAATTCGGGAGCCAAGAAGTGCTTCAATCAGTAAAAACTCCAGGTGGACCTATAATTTTGGCCAGCCTTCAAGCCTGCTTTTTTTAAAATTTCTAATTTTTTCTTGAATAATCGAACGAAAACGAGAACCGTTTTGTAGACTGATAGTAGGCTGGTAAAAACACGTCTGTACCAAATTTTGGAAAATTTCATTTACAACAGAGTGAGTTATGGCATTTTTTAGAGTGGACCTATAAATTTGGCCAGCACTGTACTCTCGCGATACAAACATTAGCCACAGCAAGAAATTGCTTCTGGTGATGCTTCGGACACTTCAACGAAAATTCGACACGCTCCTGGCTATAGGGTTTGAACTCCACCACTACATTATTCTCTTCTTCATAACGGCTGACCTCCTTGGTGTTGACTGAGAGAAAATGCCTAGAAAAATTTTTCGCATTGACATTTCCTGCGCATTTCGTTGTTTGACAACGCTTGAGGTGGCAATCAAGCGCCACGATACTACCGAAGTATTCTCCCCAAGCCGTGCCAGACGAGTAACCTGGAAACGATGAGTCTAGGACCTCGTGGGCGGACAAAAGCAAATGTATTTTACAACAGTGAAAAGTTGGTAAACTCGGTCTCACAATCAGGTCAATACTGAAAAAAATTTGTTCTATCTAATGGCTACAAATTAGGCAGGAAGTCCCCAAAACTTCTCATTCACCTGTATTGTGCCGAAAGTTGCTCCATCGCGCTGCACATTATCTATGCAAAATAAGCAAAAGTGATATATCAGGACTTCTGAACATCTGGGTTGTCCCATAAACCTTTTATATCCGAATTTTCAGCAACACAGTTTCCTTATATTCCTACAGGATGCGGAGCCCCATTCGACAGATCAAAGCAAGCTCTACATAATGACGTTTGAGGTCACTTCGCATCAAATCTGATCCGCATTGAGTTTTTAGCCAAAACAAATAAAAAATCAGAATTTCCGATAGAACAAAAATAATCGTGTTTCAGTTTAACAAAACTTCGAATTCCCTACTTGCTCAGGCACATACCCTCCCCATCAATTTATACATACAGTTGCTGCATTTTCCTGATGACTAGAAGTCAAGAAAAAACCACGAGCTTGATATTTCAATTGTTTCTCACTAATTGGCTTAGATAATGGAAACTTTTTCTTTTACGTCCTTCGGTCTTGCTTCTACCAGAAAAACTATCAAGCCTTCAGATTTTTATTGTTCCCTGTATCAACGTCACTGTAATCGCGCAGAAGACAGTTAAAGAAGAAACTCCGAATTTTTTTGCATTTTAATTACTTATGTAACATTATGCCCCCTCTCATGGCAGGGGACCACCTAGAAAGGTTTGATTTACGAGCAGTTTTCTTCGATATTCTGCGCAAGAAAGAGCATCAATATCGTTGCTGTTAATTCTGGAGAGAGTACTTCTCGACTAGCGAGGAGAATCATTGCACTAGCAAGACTAGCACATTCCCCATCACTCCAACGGATTACGGTAATCTGCCTTGCCAAGAATAGGTTTTTTCTTAATTACAATTTTCTCTACCATTCCGACACCTGTCTCTTCGTTGTTCCCTGAGAATGATCGGCTGAGTTTCAGCCCTGACCTACTCCAACGACTAAAGATAGAAGAGGAGAAATCCCTGGTGGAAGAAACCCTAGCTGATCCACTGGTGATCCTTCTAATAAGCATAAAGAATGATCTAATGACGCTAGAACGAACTCGTCATCCGGTGCCGTGGCTGGAAGAAGTTATAAATCTTCCTTAGTGAATCAGCAACGAAGCCCTATGTAAAGTCTTTACTTTTTCTTTTCATTGTATTGAAACGCTGAGCATGAATAAA